GTCCGTCCGTCCGTCCGTCCGTCCGTCCGTCTGTCTGTCTGTCCGTCTGTCTGTCTGTCCGTCTGTCTATCTACAGTATCTGGCTAGCTGGCTAATTAGCTAGCTAGCCTCCCACCCATTGGTTAATTGATGGAGTTAATTATTACAGTTCACAGTCATTCCTAAGCCAGTAATGTGGTCAAATAAGACACACTTCGTGGTATATACAGTATTATCATACTATACAGTGTAACCCAAAGAACACTATCCCCACTGTGAATCACCAATATGGGTGTATAATATTGTGGTTATGCTTTAGTGCTTAGTACTTCATTTAGTACTTCATAGGCAGCAAATCACGCTTTGTCAACCATCAGCATGAAACTCAGCAAAAAAGTTGGTTTTAAATATTTTTCACAAAATGTTGGTATGGTATGAAAATAGAAAATAGGAATGTAATGTAGTATTTTTTTCCTATTTTACAGGTACATAATAAAACTTTGAGCCCAGAGAGCTTTACTGTACTCCAATACTACCAGTGACATGTGTCCGAGTGGTTTCAAACATAGATACAATGATAAAACTGTTGATACACTTAAACAATGGCTGTCCTTTATTTAACGACTCTAGCGCAGTAGCTCGGTCGCTCACTCACTCACTCACTCACTCTCTCATCACTTCGGCTCTGTTGCCAAGGTTACCGTACAGCCTCTTGCTGCATATATACATGAAGCTCCTGCTTATGGATCTCTTGCCGCTCCAGTATACAAACAAAAGGAACAGCATCAAGCTTTTATACCTATATATCTCTCTTCCCCAGACAAGCACACGGGCACACACTCACATTTCCAAATCTCACACACGCCTATTGCCTTTCTCTGCCTCTTCGCGTCCTTCACCAGTGCGATCACAGATTGCTTCTATTCCCAGACAGAGAAGCAGTGCAAGGATTGGTGTGGTGTTTTGTGCTCAGCTTCTAATTTCTGGCTCTGGGGTCGCAAAGCGGCAGATGGCAGTGTGAAAACAGGGCTCAGCCAGGTAAGAGGACTTATCCTATTTATACTTAAGGCAGTGGATGAGTGACTGGTCCAGCCCTCCTCTCCTTCCCTCTCCTTTCCTCTCCTTCCCTCTCCTTTCCTCTCCTTTCTTCTCCTCTCCTCTCGTCTCCTCTCCTCTGCTATCTCTGTCTCTCCTTATTCCCCCCGTGTGGCTGTGCAACATGAGGTGAATATCAATTCCTCAGCAAAGCACCCACGGTTCATATGGCTGCTGCAGTTTCCAGGCTGTGAAAAGGTAGGGATGTGTGATGCTACCTCAGAATGCTTCTCTGTTCCTCAGATGTTTTTTAACCAGGCTAAATTGCTATTATATTGTTTTGTTGACGTGATTGTTATCTCCACATTTGCTCTCCCGTCTGTTGTTATTCAAAGCCTGATGTGGTCTGTGTTGTATCATGTCTGTGTGACAGTGTGGGCGCTACCAGAGAGCGACGCAACAGTGCACCTCTCTGGGTGATTCATTACTAATCCATCCAGCACGGTACTGTGTGGTCTCTCTGGATCACTGTTGCCATTTACTGTACGTTATATGAATGGTGTTTTGTCTCTGTATGAATGACTGTCAGAGAATGTCATTCCTGGTGTTTTGATGCGGCACAATCAGGTAACACAATCTCTGTGTCACTGGGGATCCACATATATCTCCAGCAACCTGTGAATCAGTTCGCTATGCAGCAAATTTGAATTATTTACACAGAATTGCTTCGGCTGAATTGATTTATGAGTGCTGATGAGATGTTCATTTGGAATGTCCCTGGAGCTGCCTTAAGACATCGTTCAAGTGTATGTAAACAAAAGGAGCTGATTGATTACCTGTCTCTTTTATATACTGGAAGAACAAAGTGGTTTTCTGGGTCCTTAATTTTAAGTTCCATTTTGAGTTTATGTGTTTATTAAGATCAAAATCAAGAACGGATGGAGCCCTAACAAGAATAGCTGCAAAGATGTGTGCGTTGGGCTGATGTGGCAGGTTTCAGCCCGCGTCACTTATTCTCATGTTACCGTCCCATCATCACTTTCAGTAAGAGCTTCCTCTTACCTTCCCTACATTCCACAACACATTCGAAACTTCAGCCTTTATGGCCCACCGGGATGGAGACAATGTTTCTAGACAGCATCCCAGAGAGAAATTAGAACACGTACTAAACATTAAACAAACAAAAATGTACACTTAGTATAACACATTTGATTAGGTTTTATTTTTCTTTAGTGTTTTAAAACAGTTGATGATGGTTTGATGCAGTCCACAATGTGGATTGGCACAAAAATGGTGACCACTAAACATTTATATTGATTTTTTGTAGCTGAAAACCAGGAGCTCTAAAAATAATGACGCAAATACAGTCAAAGCTACAGAAGTGATTATATTAATGACAGAACCTGCCATGAAAATTATTTTTAAAAATAATAAAAGAATTCTCAAAAATCACTCAAATTTTATGTAAGGAAAATAATGCAAAACACAAGGAATTACCAAATAATGTAAACAGGGTTGCTATAAAAGTCCTACAGTGAGGTCAAACTAAAGCTGCTATTAACAAAATTAAGCTTAAACAAATAAAAACAAAAGCCAAATAGCAACAGATAACTTTATATAACATTTGATGAAAAAACACTGAAGCAAACACTGTATAACTATAATTATACATAGTGGGCCATGAAGGGATATATAGATGAATGAAACAATGGATGAATATATGGAGGATGGATGGGTTGACTGATAAAGATTACAAAATAAATATTTTTAAAATAATTTTACAATTAAGATGTGATGAAAAAACAGTGGAATAAATTTAAAATATTTTTATAATGTCAAATTTTGAATTGTCACAGTCACTGGCATGCAAATTTGTAACACTACAGCCTTAGCGCTACATTGACACAGGAAACAAGACGTCTGCCTACATTCACTGAGCAGTGGAATGTATGAATGAATGAAAAACAAAGCAAAAAAAAAGGGAGGAGATATATTACAGAACTACAGTGGATAATGTCACTGGGCTCCCAGTGCAGATTCACTGTGTGCTTTTCATCTTCCCTTTGAATCTCTGTGTACGCTACAATATATTAGTTGCCACCGTTACTAAAACACCAGCCTGACTGCGTCACTGCTTCAAACAACTTTAACACAAAATTGAGGGAAGAGCTGCTTTTCCTCATTCACTGCTTCATTCACCCGTATACCTGGACTTCTGTAGGCGTGTGTGTGTACGTACATGTGCATCAGTGTTTGTGTATGGTGTGCTTGGTGTGTACATTGTATGGATGCATGTTTCCATGGCAGTAGGCTTACTGGCGTCATCACTTCAAAACCACCATTGCAGCACGCAGAGACAGAGATGGAGAGAGAGGGGGGAGAAAGACAAAGAGGGAGGAAAGGGGGATTTTATATACACAAACAAAATTATTTACAATTTTTGTCAAAGACATGACAACATGGTGTTGTTAACAAAGAGTTAACTGTTTTTTCCTGAATGAAGTTCTAATAGCTTTAAAGCTAGAGACTTTAAGGCCCTTAGTCACAGATTTTTTTCAATCTAAAAGATCTAATTGACATTGCTATCAGATGTTAGCATTAGCAAAAATAAATGGAAATACTCTCTTAAATTGCAAGTATAATTTAAAAAATGATTCAGGTTCAAAACAGGAACAAAAGAATTAGGGCAATCACTCAATGTTAAATTTTCCACTGGAGGTCGCCACTGGAGGTACGTACCTGCTTTGTTTCTTCTCTGTCTATGAGACCATGAACTGGTTATTGGGTCAGTTATCCGGGCTTGATGTACAGTAGGTGGTAAAGGGCCAGGCTCTCTACTCAGCCCAGGGCTCAGGGTGATTTCAGAGCAAAAGTCTGCAGAATCAGGATCTGCGTTGAAAAGACTTCCAGTGTGAGCCTCTGTTTCCAGAGGTTTTCAGAGCCATCTGAATGTACTGTAGCCTCAGCAGTGTTATTGGGCTCCACTACACTCATCAGCCTCTGTAAGATCAGGCTTCTACTGTAGACTGGGTCATCGATGTCATCAGGCCAGAGGGTCTCACTACGCTGATGTCTGATCTGCACCAATAAATTAGTAGTTTTCACAACAACCAGTGCTAGTTAGAAATCAGTGAGAAACCACTGTGACTTACAGTAAATAATGGTTGAACTGAATTTAACAGTTGGGTGATGGGGTAACAGACTTGTGGTACAGTAGTACAATTAAGGACAGGTCTAAACAAGATCAGACCTTTGGGATGCAACAGAATTATATAAACAGTTCACTTCACTACACAATTTAAACACAACACATTCACAACATATTCATCAAAAACATTTCTTTCTTTCTTTTCCCCCCCCAAAAAGTATCTGACTTGGAGGGCTTTACTTTTTTGTCCAGGTATTTCTCAAATGTCTGCATCATGAAATTGTTTTAAGTAAAGCTGAGATCATCTGTATAAGCAGACAAATATGATGCTGGTGAAAAATAAAGATTTCAAAGGCTGCAACAAATTTTGCGGAGGAGAGGTTTCTAAGGAGAGTAAATAGATAATACCACGTGTAGAGCACCCTTGTCTGACACTCTTCACACCGTGAACACAGACTGACATTTAATCTTGGCAGACTCACATTCTGAAGCTTTTATTTTTTTTACAGGATATTATGACCAAATATGGTCAAATATGTTGAAAAAGTGTTAAATCCAAATGAGCCAGAGTTTGAACATCCCTATTATAAGATTTTTGTTAATTAAGTTTATCATTATTGCTTTTGCTAATAATAATAATAATAATAATAATAATAATAATAATAATAATAATAATAATAATAATTATTATTATTATTATTATTATTATTATTATTATTATTATTATTATTATTATTATTATTATTATTATTATTATTATTATTATTATTATTATTATTATTATTATTATTATTATTAATGTTGTTGTTGTTGTTATTACACGTAACAATAATTGGAGAGTCCCAATGGGATTATAGTGAAATGAGAAGTTCTCTTGAACCCTTAACCTGGTCTATCAAAGTCCCACATATACCCCTCATTTAGCCTGTGACTAGATGTCTTGATGTTTTGTTGCTGATCCAATCTAATATGCTTTTTGTCCTGTGTCCTCCAGACCATCTGCACAACAGTGGCCAATCTGGGCCAACTGCAAAAAAAATTCAGCTTAATCATGTGATCTGACTTTCCTTCAAATATCAATCCCCATCATAGGTGAGTCGTTTGACTGTCTGCATAGTTTTTTATCACCTACAAGTAACCAGTTAGGAGTATCGCATTCTGGCTTTAGTGTAGGTTGGCAGTCATTGATGAAAACTTGATCTAAAAATCACTCGCAAATACATCAGCAGCCAGTAACACATTTAAACAAAAGGGTGGGTGAAGGGGTGGTGGTTGGAGAGGGTATCTGCACCAAATATCACACCAACTCTTTCACATCCCCCACATTCAGAAATCCACACAAGCTGCGTGGCACTATTCAGCCAAATGTACAAAAACCTTTATTAATGTTTGAAGGACAAAAGAGTGGGGAGGAGAATAGCTTTGAATCCACCGCTGACTGATACAGAGATGCTGTGTGTGTGTGTGTGTGTGTGTGTGTGTGTGTGTGTGCTGTCAGAAGATGATAATGCTCAGGATAGATGAAAGGGATGAGAGCCACTCTGTTGCCATGGCAATGCTCAGGGCTGTAAACAAGCTACCCCTGACTCATCTCTCCACAACAGCTCCCCCACCCCCCTGCCTCCCTCTGGATTTAACAAACACGCACACATGCAAACACACACGTACAAACACACACACCTCACAGCGTCCGTGGATCCAGTCCAAGTGAGACGAGAGCTTCCGGAGATGAGCTACTTCAAGCTGCTTCCGACCTACACATACACAACGTAGACTTGTAGAACGAACACAACCCAGTTATACAGGCACATATACATTATTCTTAAAATATACACAACCTTCATGACAATGACTTTGATGTCACTCACTGTGTGCTGTTGTTGGGGTTTTAGTGATTCACAGTTATTAAGTTATAAAAAATTATATCCTTTTCATAATTGGTGTTTATGACTGTGTTACAGCAGTGAAGCAGAGAACTCACTGGGCTGTTTTTGCTACAGTAAATGTGCAATGTGTATATACTTTGTACGACGTGTGTACACAGCAATAAACATTATTTAATGTAGCAACCAATGGTAACTTTTATTGATTATAGTAAACACCATTAATACAGAATCCTAATGACGTGTGAACCATTCTAACGTGTCAGGTTCTTCACTAGAAAATCCCTAAATAAACTGGTACCTTTTTGAACAGGAGATCATGAATCGCCGGCTGAGCAGCTCCACCCGTTCTCACACTGAGGACTCCATCTTCCTGAGACCTGATGAAGACCCCGTCTGGTTGGATGAGCCGACAAAGATGGAAAAAATGGGCGATGGAGGGCCCAAAAAAGACGCACTGCCCGAGTTCAGGGATGGAACCTCAGGGGGCAAAAGTTTACACAGGGAGGAACAATTCATGCACAAACTGTGGGTACTTTTAACACAGATCCACTGCTGGGCTGCAGCATTCCTCGCCTCCCAGGTTACGGTATGTGTTAGAATGTCAGCTGCAGCCATAGAAAGTTAGGAGAAATCAACGAGATTATCAGTTAATTTCATTCTTCTAATTATTTTTCACTGTATGATCTCCATTAGAAGCGGCGTTTTTCGTTTCCTCCATTTTTCACCTGAGAGCATTGATGAATGACAGCTGACTGGAACACTCTGTCTCTGTCTTTCTACTTATAGGGGTACTGGGTGTTCTTTGTGCTGGAAGGAAATGGACCCCTGTCTTCCATCTACAAAGCCCTGCACATCATTGACTTCTACCTTGGCTTCATCTTACCCTGTCACCCGATCTTTGGAGTGGATGTAAGTATCTGTCCTGCTAGCAGTGTTACAGTTTGTATCAAACAGAGAACACAATAAAAGTGATGTGTCGGCTGTTGTCTTTTCGCTATTGCTCATTTTTTCTGTCTACGAACAGTCCAAGGTGCTGACAAATGAAGTGATCAACACCACCCAGCACACTTGGATTGTCCAGGGCACTGTAGGCAGCGGTATAGCCATCTGTGTTGTCATGGTAAAAGCTTGTTTTCATGCTAGAGCATTATTTAGAAACTAAATACACATCACAGTAATGAGAAAGACATTTTCCAACTTTCTTTTTTTTTTTTTCAAGGTCATCCATATGGCGTACAAATGGCACTACGGTACTGGCCTATGGTTATCAGGAAGTGCATCAGGAGACATTAGTGATCGGCGACAGTCCGTGAGCCGACAGCCGTCCTTTACCCTGTCTGAGTGGACGGATGCTCAAGAAGACCTGCTGGACCTTGACACGATCCCACAGACGCCTGTCTTTGAAATGGGCACTGACACAAGGACAGAGTGTGACGCTGCAACCCTCACGGTAACACCTGTGGGTCTTCAGGAAAGGTAAGAACGCAAATGAGCAGCACCCCCCCCCCAAAAAAAAAAAAAAAATCCTCTAAATTACTTTGTACTTGCTCAATACATCACAGTCCTGCTGTGACCTCTGTTTTTAAACCATCACCAAAATGAACAGTGGGCAGCAGTGTGTGGGGACGGTGCCATGCTCAGAGCACCTCAGTGGTTACTTGGCCACTGGTGGACTCGAACCTGAAATCTCTCAACCCAAGGCTGCGTCCTTAACCACTAAGCTACCACCAGATAAACTTAATGTTAAACCTAATATTCCTGTGTAAATAACAGGGATAACAGTAAATCCCAGTGTAGCTAGAACTGGGAGCTAAGTCTTAAGTTTAAAGAACTAAAGACCAGGTGATAACATCATTGAAAAAGCCAAAAGATAGCTGAAAAAAGCAGGCCACATGACAATCCAAGAGTCAAAAATTCATTAAAAAAACATTGATCTTGATGAAACTGAAAAAAGAAAAAACATTTCTGGATTTTGTTTGAAAATAAATAATCTGTAATTTTGATTTAATCAGTATCAGTAAGTCAGCTGGTGTTTTTTATTAAATGTATTATCATAATTCATTGGTGTGAACCTTATGTTTCATTAACGTCAGTGTACTCTGGTCTGCAATCATCCATTTCATTTCCATACTGTATACACACAGCAGAAGGCTAAACTCTGTTTGCATCCATGCAGGAGGGGCTCCAATGTGTCCCTGACCTTGGACATGTGTACTCCAGGCTGCACTGAGCCTTACGGCTATGGGGCCCAACTCTCACCAAGAGACCAGTCAGCCCAGGAGTATCTCCGACAGGGAACACACATCCTGACCCCGGCTCTGCTCCACACACGGGCCATGGACGACCAGAGCCTGCAGGCTGAGTTTTATGTAAGCTGGAGCCCACCTACATGGTTCACATTAACAAGGGAAAAAAAAGTAGACTCACTAGACTCACACACTCAGAAACACACAAACACCAATTCATTGATTTTTATTTATTTGGAATGAAAGGCTAAGACTTCCCTCGTGTTTCTGTTATATTGCTGTGTGTCCATTGGCAGGAAACTCCCATGAACTTTGTCGACCCAAAGGAGTACAACTACCCAGGGCTGGTGAGAAAGAACCGCTACAAAACCATCTTACCCAGTGAGTGAAGAGTAGGAGTCATACTTTGTTTGTTTTTTTGTAAAAGGCAATGTAAGGCAATAGAAGAGTAAAACAAAACCAAGAAGAAGCAAAGCAAATGTGACAATACTTAACAATACTTTTTTTAGTAGCTTAAAAGAATCCAGGACTTGAACCCAGAAGATGTTTAAACAATATTACTGTAAGTTTGTTCAGAAACATTGAGAAAATTATATTAATAATTATATAAAAGCTTGCCAAAATAGCTAGAAATATGACAATATGAGCAGTATAATTAACCACAAAAATATTTTAATTAGCAAAAAGGTGGCCATAAATACAGTTAAAGCTCAAACCCAGAACTTACAGTGTATACCAACAGTCCAAAACCTTTTTTGCCCAAGGACCACTCGGCCAGTACCAGCCAATACCGCAGACCAGTAGAGCCACAAAAATTGTTAAAAGATCATTTAGGATCAGTACATATTCAGATAAAAAAAAATGTACATTTTGTTTTGTTACTATTTGAGTCTAAAAGATGTATTTTTTGGAAAAAGTACCATATTATCTTTAAATGAAGAAAGTTAATTGAAATAACTGTATTCTCTTTAAATTAAATAAATGTATAATTATTTCACTGCGGTCTGGTACCCAGGGGCCCCCATCCCCTTGGACAAGGGTCCCTACTATATGGTACCTAAACATGGACAGGGCTATAGTTTGTAAAAGCAACAAGTAAAGGATATTCTCCAGTAAAAAAAGGTTTCATTGATGTGGAAAAGTTGTAAACAAATGATTCAAACAAATAAAACCAAAAACTAACCCTATTTAAAACCCTGTATTTTATAGGGAGTGTGGTTTAGTGTCTAACCTCATCAGTGTGTGTAAAGAAGATGGTCTCCAGATTTGAGTTAGTTTGTGTTGAATTAAAGGGCAGTTTAAATAACAAGCCGTGTATTTGACTTTGCAGATACGCACAGCAGAGTGATATTAAAATCTCAGGATGAGGACGACTTCCTGTCAACGTACATAAATGCCAATTACCTGAAAGTATGTAAACAACTTTTTGTATCCCCAGAAATAATTCCCTCCCCAGCTCTTTAGCCTCTCTACCTCGCGTTCATGTGTGTGCAGGGATATGATGGTGAGGAGCACGCCTACATCGCCACTCAGGGTCCCACAGTGAACACAGTGGGCGATTTCTGGAGGATGGTGTGGCAGGAGAGGAGCCCAATCATTGTGATGATCACCAATCTGGAGGAGAAAAACGAGGTGAGCGCGGACAGTGTTGCAGGAGTCAGATCCATATACAAAACATCAGATGACGGTCACAATGACCACTTGTGTCCATTTTGTCCTGAAGAAATGTGCAGAGTACTGGCCCGAAGACACTGTGACCCACGAGGGCATGGAGATCACCCTCGTCAGAGTAACACAGGAAGACGATTACAGCCTGAGGGTGTTTACACTCAAGGTGAAAATGCAACAACGTATCACACAAGCTGTCACTCAGAGGATATTTATCTGTGTATTTGGACCCAGTGGTTTGACCATTGAAGTTGATTGGTTGGAGTCAAGGAGGTTGTTTTGAGAAAGCAATTCTGTTACTGGTTTGAAGACAATTTTTTCAATGATCTTAGAATGGAATGGGAGGAGTGACATTGGCCGATAGTTCTCCACTTATATGAAAGCATGGTTGAACAGCGGTGTAACCCGAGCCTGTTTGAATACATTAGGAAATGATTCCGATTTTAGTCGAGCGTTAATTACATGTGTGACATGCTGTGACAGTAGGAGCTACAAATTGCAAGAGGTTGGATGGAAATGATGCAGTTGGGCTTCTGTTTTCTGTTGAATTAGAAGTACCCATAACCAGTAAGGAGGGAGGAGTGTCCCGTTTGTAGTCAAACTGCTACATGTTGGAGGGTCTGTAAG